AGCTCGTGTCCCCCTGGGAAGCTCTGGTAAGAAGCACATATGAAACGAGACAACTGTACATTCAAAACATTTTTACCTAAATATTATTTCAGTGCCAAAAGAAATACCAAAGACATTCAAGATGAAAGCCCAGAGATTTGTCACATTTGTCCCCAAGGCTTAAGATAAGCGTGCTTTTATTCCACTAAGACAAGGATGAAACACTGGCATTTTTGAGCTGAGATACTGGAAGTGACCTTTTAGGTGTCAGGAAGCTGTTGTTGTGCTGGGGACACTTAAGATAGAGCTTTATTTTACAGGTGAAAAGAAACAACTGGGGTTATCTAAGTAAAAATGGGACAAGGCCCGGTAAAAGGGACTCAGAGTCCTGAAATCTAATTTTATTCAGTAGTTTTAGATTTCTTATCTAACCCTTTGAAATGTGTCCCCATTCCTGACGAGGACAATGCTCCGGGTGTGAGCGCCGTCTCCCCTTCCCTGTCCTTGACCGAAAAGAAACAGCAGGAGAGAAAAAGGTAGTTTAGGCAAGACAGATCCGAAACTTAAAAGACACTATTTTCAGAGGCCTATTTTAATGTCTGTTCTCTCAAACTCCTGAGAGAAGCTGCAAGGGAAACCTGTGGATGCAAAGAGCCTGCTGAGAGGCTGCACACCTCCCTGGCTGGGCCTGTGGGCAGTCCCTCTCCCACCCCGGCCAGGGACAGACCCACAACGCTGGGCAGAGCTTCCTCAGCTCAGGGGCCAGAGCCGCCGCCGCACACCTCCCTGCAACCGAAGCCCAAGGTGCACACCCACCCGAGCCAGCAGGTTGGGAGGGGGAGGGCAGAGGGGCAAAAGCAAAGGGTGTCTGCAGGGACCCGGCCCTGGGCTGCATACCAGGTGGTGACACCGGCAGGGTTGCTTTTTCCAGGGGCAGGAGATTCTCAAGTTCTCTGCACTGGAAACCCTGAGAAATCTGCCACTGCGGTGGAGAAGCTTCCGGGGGGTCCTTGCCTCTGGGGAAAACCCAAAGTGAAGGAGTAAAAGCAATTCCACCTCCCACAAAACCCTCATCCCCCCGTTTCTGGTCCAAGGTTAAGGGTCCATAGATTCCTCCTTTGCATCCAAAGTGCCAGATCACTTAGATGATACCTCAAGGTATAGTAACTGAGGGATTGGAAGCCAACACTAAACGTGAGCTTCTATTTACTGCCATGAGACCGTGGGCAAGTCTCTTCCCCTCTGACGTCCCTTTTCTCACCTGCACAGAGAACCCCTGTCACAGGGGAAGGTGAGGACAAGAAGGCTGCCTAGGACAGTGCCTCCCACACGGTGCCTCATAAATACGCATTAGGACCCTTCTCTTTCCTCTTGGACCATAATGTCCTGTCAAAAACGTGATCCAAAGTCTAAATTTTCTGAGCATCCATTTGGCTAAAGCGCAATGCAGTGATTTCCACGTGGGGTCTAACTGGCTCTGTTCACCATCACACCGAGTACCATGCAAGAACTGTGCTATGGGCTTAAGAACAATTCATATTTTATTTATAATGGAATATGACCACAAGGTTACATAGCAGTGAATTCACAGTAGTGATTTATTTCTTGAAACAAGATCCATAAAGCACAAACACTACCCAGAAATACTTACACCAGTTTAAAATTGCAGGGTCCCTGCTGCAGGACTATTTAAATACCGTGTTACCACTCCCATGCCCCCTTCAGTAATCAATCTTGTCTTCCGGTGATGCTCAACTTTCAAGTTCTATTGAGAAACATATTATAGTAGGGCTTCCAGGGTGGTGGAGTTGGCGCAGTAATTACCATAGAACTTGACCTTCCTTTCAGTTTTCAGGGCAGAGGGGCCTGGGACAAGAGTCGGATGGGCTCGCCTACAGGACAGCAGTCTCCCCAGAGGACATTCCTGGGCTAAAGCCACTGACTCCTGGGGAGAAGACAGTGGAACTGAGGGAGAGGAAAAAGGGAGGGAAGAGGGAAGTCTCTGGCTTTAGAGCAACCTCCCGAAAGGTGGACATGATTAGGAAATCTCTCAAACACACGGCCTACACGTAGAGACGCATACAACCTCACACACTCATCCACAGACACACAAACAATTATCTACAAAGAATCACACCCATCTGCTACCGGTCACACAGATGCTCAGATGTCTAATCTGTAAACATGCCATCCCCCCGATAATATACAGTCTGAGAAATGCTTGTGTCTATGGAAACACATAACACAAACAGCACGCGTCCCTGTTTAGGGAGCCTTACATAGCCGGGCCCCAGCAGAAGAGTCAACCAAACACGTGATTTTGTTGGTTTCACCACATGGCTGGAACATTCTCTCTCCTAGGGGCAGGCCAATCAATTTCTGTCAACCCAGTAGGGTCACGGCTCCCCACAGAGCCATGGCCGTATCTAAACACATGCACTCGAAAGTAAAGATGAGACGCAAGACTGAGAGTCCTTGACTATCCCCGACTATGGGGAAGGTAGGAGAGGGCAGGCGCCTCCCCCCTCCCCCACACACAGCAGCACAGCTAGGTTCTCCCCGCTGACAAGGAGCTCCGAGCCCGGGCAGTGAGCCACAACACAACACACAGCACAAGTGCCACCGCTCACACTCACACATGGGCCACCCGCCTCTTACCATTTGCTGTACAGCATCTGTCCTGTCTATAGATTTGAAAAGGAGGACAGAGTGGGAGAAGGGGAGATACTAGCTGGGCAAAAACCTGGTCTAGCATTTTCTCTGGGGCTGACTTGATGAACCTTTGCAAAAGCATTTCGTGTTTCAACTCAATTGATAATGCAAAGGACGGATGAACTACAAAACCTGAACATCCCTTCCAGCTCCCAGAATGCAGACTTGAACGGTGAGGTCATGCACGATTAAAAATTGTCATTGTCTTTAAAAGGACTCACTTAAGGGCCAAAGTTATCTACTGTTAAAATGCTGCCAGGGAGGAGAGCGATCTGACACGCCTTGCCTGTTGCCGCCTTCTGCTCTTTAACATTGAATGTTCACATCTTCATAACTTTGGTGGAAAGTTATAGAAAAATCTATAAACATTTAAGGCAAATGAAATCTTGTCTCTTCTAATGTGGATGTATCTATATTTGATTAGCCAGCCCCAGGGCACAGTTCACCCCTGTTTAAGAAGAACAGCCAATTGGTTCCAAGAATTAAAATAAAAACGCATTGTGTTCAGTTGTGCGATGTAGCTTTCTGAAACCTTCAATGTTTTAACACCATTTACATTGTCCCACGGCACCAGTAACTCAAGCTATTAAGAGTTTGAATGTGCAAAGGCTGTGTACAAAGATCTTGCATTTTATTTTGTATTCTTTCCAAAAAGGACCCAATACAAAGTCAGTGTAAAAAAAAAATCAATACTCAATTTAAAACAGAAACAATAATTTCAGAAAGTCTGACATTGTCCTATGTCAAGACTAAGGGAGAGAGAGAGGAACGGGTAGAAAGAAAGTATATTCCTTAATTTAATTTAAACCTTTCTTCGCCCTGCTGGGGTGCAGACACCAAAGCAACGAATCCAACTTAACCCCTTCTGGACGGGTAGCTGGCCTGGAAGCCCAGGATTTTCGAGTGCTGCGGAGCAGTGTCATTCTGAAATGCATGGAGAGACACGTGTGGCACTTACACTGCTGGGCACCGGACACAGCAGCCTCTAACACATCTCGCCTGGGACAGTGTAATCGTTCACAGCCAAAGTCACACATTCACCATCTCTCAAAATACGTTTCCTGAGAAAGACATCATCCTAAGGAATGTCCAGTTTGAAGGGACCTACAGGCAAAAACTAAGAGGAACAAAAGCACCGTGGTAACATTGTGTCTTTCATCAACAGAACCATGTAGTCAAACAGCACTTCTGGGCTCTATGCCACACCAACTGGTTTCCGCTTCTTTCCTTCCCAGCACAGCTTTTTGACCTGAAGGCTGTTGATCCAAGAACACTTGTTTACTTTTTCAGGTACAGATGTATTACAAATACTCAAAGCCAATGGTTGCTTTAAAGAATGACACACAAATACTGTACCACCTGTGGAATGCATAAACCAGTAAGGGTGCATGGGACACACACACAAAGGGCACTTTGACGGTGTTGTCCTTTACTAGAGCAGGCGGATGGTACCCTGAGTACCCGGGGGAAGCAAGTGTGAACGCTTGGTAAAGGATTGCTGTGGATACAGGACGGCCACGGGTGGCAGGAGACCCCGGATGTGGCTCCTCCCGGAACTCCCCTGCGCAGCGTCTGCCTGGAAGGCCTCCTCACCCCCAGCCCAGGCCCCGGGAATTCCCCCTGGAACCATCTACGTTTAAGAAGCAGATCGCGGAGGAATCACTCTGGACCCCAGACTGGCTCCTCACTCTCCTTTCCCTAAGCTCCACAGCCAGCCCATTCCTTCTCCTCATTTGACCAAACCCGACAAGCCAGGTCAACACCAGGGGCTGAACATCCCTTCCCCGATGGTAAGCGGCAGAGGTGGTGAGTTAGTTGCACAGTGACGGCGGTCAGAAGTCAGGGACTGGACGGCAGCCGCTGTCACCGCAGCGGGCACTGTTTGGCCTCCCAGGAAATTAGATGCTCCAATCCGAGGCTGCCAGTCCCAGAGTCACAGTGTCAGTGGCCCCCCTGCTCGGTAGGGAGCGGGGAGGAGGAGGGGCAGGAGGGGAGGGGCTCCCACTGCAGCCCCAAAGGGACATCCTAGCTCACGCGCCCTCCCTGCGATGTACCTGGTGGGCAATTCACGCTTCCCTACGCAAACAATCCGCGGGACCACCGGTGGCTGTGCACAGAATCCGCAGGCACACGGGCAGAACCAGGTCCCAGGCAGCTCTGAAGACTAGGTTCCCCTGGCCAGGCCAGCCAGCCAGGTGGGGGGCGGCGTGCGTGCGCGCATGCGCGCAGGGGAGGGCGGGATGGGTGACGACACAGGCCCATCACCGAGTCAGCCAAAGGCTACCTGCTCTCGCCATGAAGAAGCGGTGTCAGAAACAGGGCAGGCAGGTTTCCTCTTTGGGGGGAAAAAAATCAAATCAAATTATTAGTGCACATTTTTTGTTGTGATCTTTCTGCAGAATCCAAGGCAACAAAGAACAGCCCCTAGCTCCCATGGGTGACGTGGAACTGGACGTTTACACACACAAACGCGTATGCGGCCATGTCGTGTCTGGCTTCCTGAACCAGAACAAAGATGTGCCCCCTAAGTCTGCGGGAGAGTGTGGCGCTGGACGACAGGCAGGGATGAATTGTAAGGCGAGGCTCCCCAGAACCGCCAGCTCCGCTTTGGTTACAGCTGTCACAGAAGCGCCAGGGAACGGCTTCTTGAGAAGTCCCATCCACAACAGTCAGATGTCCCCTGTCACTTTTTCCCAGGACGGACATCCCCTGCTTCCTTCCAAATAAAGTGCAGATGGTCAAAGGACGCTGGTCTATCATCTGCCAGTCTCAGCGACGAAAACTAATAAAAACAAGATGCCCCTCTGGAATACATAGATATATCTCTATATTCTTTTTTTTTTTTTTAATAAAGCCACAAATATAGAACTTTTAAACCGACGTCTCAGACTGCAAGCGGAGGACAAATTTGTGAGATTTGGGGTCTATGAACTCTTCCGAGAGCACGATGAATGGAATTTTCTTCACATTGACGACGAGGCTGAAGTCCAAGCATTTCAGGACGAAAACGAGTCCGTCCCGTAATCCGTTCGTCACGGCCTCGTCACTAACAAGCCTCCACTGCGTGGACAGCCAGCGTTCCTTGTCATACTGCAGCGTGGGGCCCGCGCTGAGGTAACGTTCTAGAAAGGCCTGGAACAGGAGGAGAGAGGCGGTTAGGGGAGAAGCACCCTGCTCCCAGGGCAGAGCTCCTGTCTGTCCATTCACCTGTGGGAAAGGTTTCCCCATAAACCAAGACACAGCCGGCTTATCACGCAGAATCCCCATCAGACCCTTGCAGCTGAGTCGCTGTCCGGGAGGGAAGACACCCTGCACTTCCTCCTTCCCCTCTGCCAGCTTCCAGCCAGAGGGTGGAGACAGGGGGCAGCACACAGACGAGGAAGGGGGGTGGCAGGAGCAACCTCTGCCCGGGAGCTGGGGCCAGGGCACCGGCCCATCCAGGGGTACAGGCCGAGGGCACATGCTCCTGCCGCAACTGCCTGCACCTGCCTGCAGTCTGCCTCCTTCACACTGAGAGCTGAGGGCAAGGGTGTCGCATGCACAGAAAACACATGCTCCATCACGGACGAGCTGCATGACTTCGGACAGGACCATTTAGCCTCTCTGCAAACTCACAGAGCACCTAGCTCACAGGCCTGCTGTACGGATGAAACTAACTGTCTAAGGGCATGAGGCAACTACCAATCAATGTCACCGATGGTTATTTTATGTTGGACAGAGTGTGCACACGGACGGCAAATCCAAGGGATGGCCGGACCCCACGCTCCCTCACATGACTGACTTCTCCATCCAGTGGTGCTGAGCTTCCTTGGGGTTCTCTGATGTCCCCCCACCTTCCTATGAGAAGCTCCTCCTGCTGACTGTCATCCTTCAGCAAATTCCTCCCAGCCCTTTAAATCTTCTTGAACCACACCCCAAACCTCGAAAAACAATGAACATGCCTCTCAACACTCGTGATCGTGATTGCTGGCAGGACTCCCGTGGGACATTTCACTTTCTGAACAATCACTGACTTGTTGTCTAGGCCCCATGCTAACTCCGCTCTCTTGGAAGGCAGGTACTCGTTTTTTTAAATTTGAATTTCCACTGCACCTAGCACTAGAAGCTCAATAGCATGGGTATTATTATAGCAATAAATACATTGATTTAGCTGCAGGAAAGGATGAGCCAGTGGCGCAGACAGAAAACACTGAGATACATCGCTCTGGCCCTCAGCACAGGCTGAGGGCGGTCTCCAGGCGGCGCCCCCAGCACCCGCCCCTCGCCACTGCCGTGAGGCGCACATGGTCTCAGACCCGTCAGCACACATTCGAAGTGCAGCTGCGCCTCTGGTATAAAACACTCTTCTTATATAAAAATAGCTCTCAAGAATCATAAGGAAAAGAAACAATTTTCGCCCTGGCTGGTGTGGCTCAGTGGACTGAGTGTCAGTCTGTGAACCAAGGGGTTGCCGGTTCAGTTCCCAGTCGGGGCACATGCCTGGGTTGCGGGCCAGGTCCCCAGTTGGGGGCGTGTGAGAGGCAACCACACATTGATGTTTCTCTCCCTCTTTTTCCCTCTCTTCCCCTCTCTCTAAAAATACATAAATAAAATTGTTTAAAAAAAAAAAGAATTCAACAATGAGAAAAATAAAGATGACGTACAGAAGAATAAAAAGAACATTAGGCTGTGATGTGATATTCTATCACATCAGTAATTAAAGAACTAAGAATTCAAATAATAAAAAATATTCTTCCTTCTTTTAGATGGGTGATGATTAAAAAGAATGGTAACACCCAATGCTGTCCCGCGTGAGAGGGAAGTAAACAGTCTCACCCCAGAGGCAGTGTCAAATGGCTACGCCCTTTAGAAGGACAGTTTGGCAGATCAACTCCTCTGATCCAGCTGTTTGGTGCCTAGAAATGCATCCTTCAGAAACATTTGCACAAATGCACAAAAACATATGTAGAAGAGACAGCCACGGCAACACTGTTTAGACCAGGAGTTGGCAAACTTTTCTCTCAATGTAAATATTTTCAGCATTGCAAGCCGCACTCTGTCACCGCTACTCAGCTTGGCCTGAGCGGAGAGAAGGCCGCAGTAGGAGGTCTGTAAATAAACGGGCGGGGCTGCGTTCCAGTCATACTGATTAACAGAAACAGCCAACCCCTGGGTTTAGACTCCTGAAAGACCTTAATCCAAAAGTGTATCAATAGGCAATCAGTTAGGCAAATCAAGGTATTCAGTAGAATGAGATACGGCTATTAAAGGGAGTGAGGTCAATCTGTATGACAGTCATCGGAAGTCCTGACAAGGAAAGAGAGCCAAGGGAACGCCAGGCGAATAGAGCATGCATGTACAGGAATGATACCATTTCTGTTTTTTCTCCCATTTCTGCTTTACACACCGCCCCCCGCCCCCAGTCCTTATCAGTAAGAACTGTTCTCACTAAAGGAATGGAACTTCACTTTGTACATTATACTATTCTTTAATGTTTGGACTTTTCTACAAAGATGACTACTTCTAATTCAGAAAAGTACATTTTTTTTTAAATGAAAAAGAACGGGGTTATTGTCCTCATTTTATAAAAGAGGAAACAACGTAGAGTAATTTATGCAAAGTCACAAACCAGTTACGTGGCGGAGCCAGGATTTGAACCTACTCCTGTCTGAAGAGAGATCACTTGCTAAACCCTTCCTCTAATTTGTCTCCCTGGCCACCTCCCTCTATTAGATGCATGACTGTTTCTTGAAATAGACTCAAAAGTGTGGTCATAACATAAATGACCATGCATGCCATAACACTAACTCCACAACATCCGAAACACCGAACCACGTGATGTCATTATTTCTACTGCTAACAATAATAGCCATTCACTGAGCCCTGACCATATGACAGGCACTGTTCTAAGCACTTCACATGAAAGAAATCCTTTGTTTCTCACAACAACCCAATAAAGTAGCTATTAGTATTATCCCCTATTTACAGAGTAGGAAACGGAGGCACAAAGGCATTAAGCTGCTGGCCCAAGGTTATCCAGCTGGTTGGAGGGGAAGCCAGGGTGGAACGAGTCAGCTTGGCTCCAGAACCCCCGAGTGCCCCTAACAGCTACCTGTGCCGTCTCTACATGAGAATCTCTTCTGTGCTCGAATTCAGAGGCCTTCAGAAGTACCTCCAAACACCCACTGTGCCCAAATGCTCCTGTGAAATAGGTGAGAATTCTTATTTGTTGGCGTTCCAAAGAAGCCTTTGACTTGGTCACTCCCAGCAACCCCCCAACGGGACTCGGACGCCGGGCGCCGCGCCGCACCTTCGGGGCCATGCTGTTGGCGATGCAGAAGGCCAGGTGCTGCAGGATGCTCTCCATGCTGTGGTAGTGCTGCTGCCGCGTGGTGCGCAGGTACTTCTGCAGGGCCCGGGCCATGGACGGGAAGATGGCCTGGGCGGCCTCCCTGGGGTCCATCACCTCCCCGGGGGCCTTCTGCTGCTCCTCGGCCTGGAGGCGCTGGATGTGGATGAAGGCCTCCTCCACAGCGACCACCAGCCTGGGGACGTGAAACCCAGGCATCAGCGTGGGATGTGGGGACCGAGTCATTGGGACCTGGAAGGACTCCTGCCCGCCTGCCATGCCCCAGCTGCCACCAGCTCCCCCAAGGTCTGCATCCTTAAGCTGTCACTCCAAGTGGCTGGAGGGGAGGGAGAGAGGGGAAAGGGAGGGCAAACGCAAAAATAACATGTGGCACTGGGGCTCTGCGGGACGAGGAGAGAGGGGGCCTGGGACTTGGAGATGACTTCCGTCCTCAATCCTGCCACCAGTGTGCTGGGGAGACTCGCTTCATCCCGACAATGAAGGGTTAGATGAAGATCTAAGGTCCCTCGGGCTCTGAGCGGCAGCTGGTGGTGCTGACGCCGCCATACAGAGAACCAGAGCTGCATCCCCGCTGATGCAGCCGCCCCACCAGCACACGTGATGGGAACCACCTCTCTCCTCTTCAGTTCTCAGGGTCAGATCTTGAAAACTGGCAAGGGCCTGGGGGGCGCAGGATGGCGCCACGCAACGTGTGGGCCGGCTGCTCAGCGCCAGCTGGGAATTTGTAAGAAATGCCCATTCTTGGGCCCGAGGCCAAACCTACTGCACAGGAAGTGACCTTTGTGGGCGGGGGTCTGTTATAATGAGACCCCGGTACTGCTCATGCGTACGGAAGTTTGAGGAACACTACAGCAAGACGCACTCCAAAGGCTCCGGCAGGTCATGTTCATACAATGAAATCTCATTCTAGTTATTAAAAAAAAAAAGTCTACGACAGTGGGTGCTGCCGTCAGGGGGAAACGATACCTTGCCCTCCGCTTCTTCACCCGCCGCTCGTGTTCCGCCTCCTCGTAGTACAGCTCATTGTGGCTCGAGTCCCTGCGCCGAGCCGCCGCGGCGATCATGGCCCGGGACTGGCCGGTGGCGTTGTTACTGGGGCCTTTGGGAAAGGACAGCAGAGGGAGAACAGTTTGAATGCCTTGTGGCTGTGAAGCGGAGCAGAACGCTAGTGCCCCGGTCTGTTGTGACCATCTACCCGTCCCGTGAAGCAGACACAAATCCCAAAAGTGACTTTCCACAAGGGTGGACGGTACCCCTGTTTCTCAAAGGAAAGAAATCTCCCCAAAGCCCAATCTGATCAGTGCAAATGGAAAAAGAATGCAGAAGGAGAGAGAAAATACACAATGATTAAAATGTTGGCCAAAAAAAACACAGACTGTGAAGATGTTACTTACCATCTGCTACAGGGAGGCTCAGGCTGGCCCTAAGGGCAGCTGGAACATCATGTTTCATCAGCAAGACAGTGAGCGAGAGCGAGAGGGATGGGAGGACAAGGACAGAGCACAGGCAAAGTCCAGGGACACAGTGACACTGACTACACAAGGGAAAACAAGCGCTGCTGGAATGTCATGGTGGCCGCAACTTTGAGAGAAAATGCCCTACGCTCGAGAACTTGCAAGATGGCCTATGTGTTCGTACAGACTTGGAAGCCCTGGTCTCGCTCCCCTGACCGCCGCCCACCTTGACTTTTCAGAAAGACAAGGCAGATCTCCTGCTTTCTCATGTTTCACCTACTTGGCACATGACTTGGTTTCACAGGCGAAATTTACCGGTCCTTCAGGATTCATGGGAGAGCGCCCATCTCAGTAGCCAAAAATAATAATAAAATAAAATTTGAAAACGCAGAGGATATTATGTCACCGCCAAAACTGACACCGTCTATAAATCACCGGACTTGCTAACAACATGATCCTCTTGCAGGGTTTGCAAAGCTCTCGCCTTGACCCAAGCTGCCCAGCAAGAAATGACACCGTGTCCTGTTTCTTGCACTTAACCATCTGATAGCCCGAAACAGCTCTGACGTCCCCAGCCTGGCCTCTGGCCTCCGGCCACCCACTCAACTCTAGCTTCTAGCCAGGATGGAGAAACGCCTGTAAATAAGTATCTCACCACATGCCTGGGCTACTGAGACTTAGACAGTCTTCATGGATTTGGGTAGCTGAGTCTTGGGGTACTTTCTCTACATTTTGATAAGCAGCCCTTTCCTAATAGCTTTCAATGTGAGATGTTCCCAGCAGGAAGCAGGGAATACACACACATCACTATTGTCTTCAATCATAAAATCCCCAAATGAATGAACCTCCCACAGATGTAGACCATAAATCAACATTCCTCTGAAAATGTTTGCCTCAGAGAGAGAGAGAGAGAGAGAGAGAGAAAGAGAGAGAGAGAAATTGTCCTGAAATGAGAATGAACCATAAAGACAAACACAGAGAGGAGGAGGAACCAGATGGGCCATGAAGTTTAAGCTAAATAGTGTCCCAACGGCGCCCTGCACCCACCAGAGATGCCGTTCCAAGGCACATACCATCCACATTGTAGACTTTCAGCCCCGCCATGTGCTTGGCTGCTCGGAATTTGGAAGCTGTCAGGAGGTTGGGGTTATAGATGGTGAAATCTTTATAATAATTTTCCAAAACCACCAGTGCTGCTCGCTGGATACTGGAAAAAAAGAAAAAAAAATCCTCTTTTGAAGTCAGGTAAAATAGCAGAGCACCAAGGAGAACTGCACAGCGCAGGCTCCTGGGTTTCACCACACTTTTGTCTCCAGGGTTAAAAGTGAAACTAAGTCCTAACATTAAGTGGCTCCGGCGCCCTCTCCCCTAGGCTATGTCACTAGCTATATCCATCCAGCCAATAGTTAAGAAAGGAATAAGTTAAAACTTAGATTTGTTTAGGCCACACAGAACTTTCCTAGGCCCCTCCGTTTATAAAAGAGGAAACAGAGGACCCCGCCATGGTCACGACACTTACAGATGGTGGCAGAGCCACTAAGAGAACACAGTATGGGTTCGGGGTCCCAGGTCCCATGCAGGCACCCACCCTGCCCCCCAGCATCTCACGGCCCCACACAGGGTGGAGGGCGCTTGAAAGAGGCTGCTGCAGGCCTGAGTTGATCCTGATTCCTCCTCCCGCCCACCCCAGGCCAGCTGGATTGTCCCATTGTCCTGCGATCTGTACCCGACCACCCGCTTGGCCCCAGGGAGAACAGGGCAGGAGCAGAGAAGAGGTAATCTGCCAACAGGCAGATACGAGGGCGGTGCGGGAGGGCGCCCATACACGGTATCGGCAGCACAACAGCCCGTTGCTCTTGGTCTCAGGTGCAGAGCAAGTTTTACATACCTCCCCTCCTTTGACCCCTGCAATCACTCAAGGGAAGAAAACTGAAGTTCAAAAATCTGTGACCTGCGCAACAGCATGTATTTCCCCAAACAGAAGGCCTGGGACTCCAATGTGCCTTTACAAACCTCCAACTCGTGCTCCTTCCTCGTGACGTGTGGCCTCTGTGGTGCAGCGTCTGTACTGACACCAGCCGCCGCTACGCTAGAACGCCAGTTATTTGTAACGTGCCCTTGACATTTTCCTTCCCAGGTCCCTTCTCAGTAGATGGGCTCACAAGGACTGTTTATAACAGCCCGCGGTACCATGCTGCACTCCATGGCTCGCCGAGTGGCTCAGGGACCTTCCCTTCACACTTGACAGTACTGTCCGTAAGCTTTGAGCTGGACACCTTGCCAGCCCCCCTTCAGCTCCCCTTGGGACTCCACCCCCAGAGTTTAACACAGAGTCTAAAACAATCTCCAAGTCAGTCAGCTAACTGCCTTAACAGCAGGGTCCTGGCAAAGCTCTCTCACTTGAGTCTCACCGGTGACTGGTGATCTGCATTCTGCTGCTGTTTAGTATCTACCTAGATATGCACTCTGGCGAGGCCAAGCTTTTATAGTGGCCGTATGAGATCGCTAAGAGCAAGTCCACATTTTGAAAGCCTTAGTCATTCAGTTTCTCAGCTGCTCACTCATCACTTTCATAGCTAAGTACCTCCCTCTGCTGAGCCCTGGGAATGCCAAGAAGGAGGGCGCTTCTCCTTAACCAGGCGTCCTGGGAATGAGGTCCTGCAAGAACCAACGGGAGCACACACGGGGGCGCAGAGGAAGCACAGAGAAAAGCTGACTGTGGGGCGCGGGTGGGTGCAAGGGCAGTTCCCGAGGAGGGGACGTGGTCCTTGAGCTGAGGTTTGCGTGTCACAGATCTTTGTGCGGAAGTCCTCTGGTGCCGAGGCCCCGTGGACCTCCAGCTCCGCACGGCCCCCCACCACCCCCGCCTGTCTCTGGGATCGCCGAAGGGCGCCTAACACTCCATCCACAGGCTGACCACAGCCCCTCCTTGAGGGCGCAGCACCTCCCCCGCACCTTCGCTGCCTCCAGCCCCATGCACGGGTCCTGCAGAGTTCCTGGGCTGGGGGAGACGAGGAGCCCTCCACACAGAAATAAGTCTGTTTAAGACACAGACACGCTGGGTTGCAAATGCCCCATTCCACGCTTCTATCTTGACATGGGAACATTTCTAGGAGCCTGGATTTCAGCCAAGTATTTCCCTGATCAAAACGTAAAAATTAAAAGGCAACTCAGAGGTTATTCTCAGGCCCATCTTCAAAACAAACCCTCTGTGGCTGTGGGTTTGGCTTTTCTCTTCAGCCAGGCCACGAGGAGGGGCCCCGGGGATCCCGCTAGCCCAGCCCCGGCCTGCGAGGCAGGCGAGGCAGCCTGGATGGGAGCCTGGCAGCCGTTCCCCTCCTCTCCACCCTGAAGCCACAGAGAGCATATTCTGCTGTCCCCGGGGAGGGGGGGGCGGGTCCTGCCCTACAGGGGGCCATTGCTGGGGCACACACCCCATCACCTTCCCACACGCATAGCCCGCCTTACGCCAAAGCCCCAGGGGGCCCTGGGAGTGCTCAGGGACAGGGCAGGTCACCTGGGACAAGAGCTTCTGAGGTCACCTGCGTGGACCTCATGGTCCTCTGCAAGCTCGAGACCTTTCACTCAGAAAAGCCCAACTGGGAGAAAATTCAGATGGTGCTCTCTTCCTCCAGCATCATCACGTCAACAGGGATTCCAGGAGGCCCCAGAGCAGCTGTGGACCCGGCCGGCCGACCAGCAACTGTGGGAGCTGAGACTCACAGGGGAAGTCTGGAAAAGCCCCTACAAGGGGCAGCCCACCCGCGCCCTAGGAAACGTCTGTGCCACACTCGACGTATCTGCGATACTGGGGCGTGAAAAGCTCCAAAACACCGAAACCAACACAGAACTGAAATGTCCAACTTAAAAAAAATGGCTGTGAGATTTGGATTAAACTCCAATATGCCTTTCCTCACCTTGTTAAAGAGAGTAAACTATGTAACATGGGACTAAGTCTTGCTGGTGACTCAGAAGATCACTACCCGCACTGATGACGACCTGGGCCACCTGGGGAGCACGGGGAAGAGGTCAGAGCCCACAGGAGGAGGGGACTTCCGGTCCCCATGCCCCACGCTGCGGGGCGGGGTCTGAGTCATGAGGCTGTCGTGCCCCCCTCTCTGGAGGTCAGGCCATCACAGTCCCCGCTCTGCTATCAGCCCACCTGCCCCAGGCACTGTCAGACACCCTCAGCTGGGTGTAAGGAGAGAAAATGGGCGTCCAGGGACCCAAGGGTGGGGCTCTGCTCCAGCTAAGTGATACCTGGTAGCACAGTATCTGATGTCTATGATTCATGCTCTGGATTGGCTAAATTGATTAGATAACTGACTTTAGGTTAAAAGTAACATATTAACCTATTATTTGGCTTCCCAGGAAAAGAAAGAACAATTCAGCACCTACTGAGGGGACATCCTGCAGGACACCCTGACATCGGCCCAAGTCACGGCCCCACAACGCCGGGGGCAGGCCCCTCTCCTCAGCCAGCGTCAAGGTCAGCATCTTCCTGCTTCTGTTCTTTGGTATCTTACAAGGCCAAGGCAGGCGCGACTTCTTTTAGGAAGTCTTTTCCAACTCTCCAGTCCTAGTGACCCATCCTGACAGTCACAGCACCAACAGCTGTCACCCGTCGCTTGCGATGTCCTGAAGTGTGCTAGTCTTCTCCCCACCCGGCCTGGGAGGGTCCCTGCACACAAGGGACAGACACCTCCTTGGACTTCCCCATGGGAACATAATTCCTACGGGCTCAACTTGCTCATTTAGGAAACCCGAGGCTCCTATAGGAAGAGGATCCGTCCTGAGCCTCTATTTCATGAAACTGTGGCGTTTCAGAGGCAAAAGGAATCTCAGAGATGAACAAAAGAAAACCTTTCAACTGGCCCCAGTGTCTCAACCAGCTCCCCTCGGGGGAAGGAGGGGGCCAGCAAACCCAAGGCGGGGAGAAACCTGCCATCTCTCTTATCGCTGTCACAGTCAGAGATGACGAGCCTTCGGCAGACACCCCGTATTACAGACAGGAGTGGGATGTACCCGCTGGGGACAGGGCCCCGCCAGAAACCCATGGCAAGGAGCACTCTCCCGGGATAGAGTTCAATTAACATCGGGTTCCATACAACCTCCTACATCACCGTCCAGAGAACCGCCCTGGCATACACTACTTAGATGTTTGGGAAAATACATAAAAACACAAATACAGGAACCCCAGATACGCAGATGAAAAGACGACAAAGGTAACGGAATATTCAACTCAGCTCAGTCCAGGCTGGTCTGAACTTGAGCTCACGGAGGAGACGGGGCAGCAGCGGGTCCGCTCCAGTGTCCGAGGGAACTCAACAGCCACTCCCGAATCTGAAACACACCCGGTGCCCCTGGCGCCTTACTGGCCTATTTTCTTTTCAGGACAAAGAAGGTGGCATGTGAAATGCTGAGCCTTTGGTGACTAATCAACCACAAAAACACTTCCAATGGCAGTGGCGACTGTTACACATTGCCATGGCAACGGGGAGAGGGGCTCACCCCTGTGCTACATTTCCTGAACGGGCTTGGAGAGATGCAACTCTACACACAGTTCAAATTTGGGTTCATAAAAATCTCCAAGACATATTTTGACAGCTAAATCCTGAAAAATAAAAACAGAAGCACGTGAATCCCCCCACCTCCGTGCCCTGTGCATAACTGATTTGGGAGAAGGTGTGTGCACCCTGCAAATGGCTCTGGCTTGGCCCCAGGCCACGTGACCTTGGCTCTTTCATTTCTTCTTTGACCTTGAACAAATTAACTCATTTCTCCAAATCCCACGTTCTTCAACTGCAGGGTGGGAAAAACAACACAGAACACCCTGTTATAACAACATACGTGGGCTCCAAGCCACCCCGCTATATAACACGCGTGACTCCAAGGTTATCGAGATGACCGGGGCAGCCTGGTGTAGGCGGCCAGTCAGGAATTCTAGTGACAAAAATGCAAGATGCCAATACACCAGGTTCTGGCTGCAGGCTGGTGCCGGTTATCTCCTGAGCATAAATATCCGTGGAGACAATTCCACGTTCTGTGGCTTTCCCAGGCTTCAAAGGCAGTGGGCACTCAGGCCAAGGAAAACCCTGGAGGCTCACCTTTCACTTTCCTGCTTCCCCAGCAGGAGCCGCCTGTCTGGTTTAGGTCTGTTTTAAAGATTAAATGAGATGATATATTTTAAAGCGCCCCGTCCGAAGC